TGGCAACAGGCTGGGAGGGCCTAATTACCTTCACAGGGCAGCGGATTCACCTCGCTAGGTTTTTCTTGGGAGTCCTTCCCCAATGAGCATCTGCTTTCTCCAGATCACAGGCAGGACCCATGGGGGGCCCTGCACAAAGTTAAGGCTGCACCATGCTCAGTGTTGCAGACAAACACACCTAAGGGTGAGCTCTGATCCACAGAGATAGGTACAGAAGGAGGGGCAGGCACAGGGTGTTGGGCAAAATGTGGCACTGAAATCCAGATTATTGACTGCTTATCCAAGTGGTTTGTATTTGTATTTTGTTTAACTGCCTGAACTACAGCATTAAAACAAAATTAATTTGTTCTCTAAAAGCACAAATTTTTACTAACATGGGGGTGAGGAAGAAAATGAGGCATTTCTCACAGTGTCCATAGCCTTCCCCTTCTGGCATTGGGAATGTGGGCTGAAAGCATCCTCATTTTCTCTTCAGGCTTCCTTTTCCAACTGGGAGGCATATGGAAGCTGACACCCAGCCCTGCCTACTCAAGTCAGCAGAGAAATTGAGAAATTTTAAAAAAAAAAACAAAACAAAACTGGCAGCTTCAAGTGCTAGAAAGATTTTTCTAGGGGTGAGAGAGAAAGCCAATAAGGCAAAGTGCATATATGTGTTGGGTGGGGAAGCATTTCAATAGCACAGCAAATATCAAAAAGGGACAAAGGGAAACATTTATCCATTGCATAAGAGAGGATTTGCGTGCAGCAAGAGTGAGGCAGGAGCAGCATCACTAAGCGGGTGTCCACAAGCAGCAGCGTCATGTGCAGGCGGGGAACAACGTGCTGGCCAGGAGTGCAAACACCCACATCGAAGCGATAAAGCCAGGGAGAGCCCTGGAGGAAATCAGGCTGTGATCCGTGAAGTGTACAAAGGTAAAAGAGAGCTTCCTGCAGTCCTGGGAGCCAGCGCCAGCGGGCTGCTGGATGAAAACGCAGCCCTCATTTCCTCCCTCTTCCAAGACAGCTAGTTCTCTGTCCTCTCCCAGTCACGTTCCTCGCCGCATTGGTTGGATGATGGATGAAGGAACAAGCCACTGGACTAACAAAAGGAATAAACAGATGACTACATCAGGAGTCACCTCTGAAATCACAGTCAAAAAGGAAACAAGCAGCAAATTTCAGTACTGCCCAGCTTCACTTCCCCTACCAACAGAAAACAATCAAGTCATTTAACGCCAAGCCATGCCTAAAGCAGCGTCAGCAGCCCCCAGCAGCCATCAAGAAAGCCACAAGGCTGGTCTCCTGCCCAGCTCCGTCCTGTCCAATTTGGAAGAGATGCAAGATGAGGAAGGGGAAGAGAGCAGGGAAAAGGTACTCTCCCCGCTGCTGCACTGCGGAAATGCACTACTCATGCTTGTGGCAGCGTGAGAAGGGCACTCATACTTATAGGCAGCTCTAAGGAGACCAGTGTCCTCCTCTGCAGAAGGATGGATTGAGCCTGAGGTGCTCCAAACTGAATAAGCTGCCTTAGCTTGGAAGGGTGGGAAAGCCAGCGCCAGGGTCCTGACAGCAATGCTGGGTGGGATGCTCAGCATGCCCTGGGATGCCGGGCTCATGCTTGCAAACACACAGCGTGACCCTGTTCTACAGCTAGGAAAACTGGCAGAAAGAAGTTGACCTCTTAAAACTGGAAAGCAAAGGAAGAGATGTGCAGGCAGAGGCTGCCAGGGCAACCACAACCCATCCTAGGGCAAGGCTCCTGCTTCTGCTAGCCAAGCCTAAACCACTAAACCAAGCAATAAAAGAGAAATCACAGTGCAGGACTTCCCTTTCTCCTCTGTACCACCCACATGTTAGTTTAAAGGTTCATGAGATTATTTTTTTTTGCAGAAAGCCCCTTGTGGGCTGGTTTCCATCTATGCTGTAGCTCCAAAGCTGTATTTTCAACTTCACCACCAGAACAGTAGGGCCTAATTTTAGGAGGAAGATTTTAGAGCATGAAAGCTGAGCTCCTTGGGATGTCACGGGCCTCCAGCATGTGCGGTTTGAAGCACCACAAGCTGAACGCCTTGTCAAAACCTGCTGGTAGAGATCTGTATTTTCCAGGCAGACTGTCCAAGCCCAGGGACGCTGCTGTCAGCAGTCACCTCTTGACAAGTGATGGTGAACAGCGCTGAATCAGAGAGACAACGCAAAGCACACAGCACTTCACATGGGTCTCGATCAACTGGGCCACCCAGGATTTTAACCATTCTTTGTTTTCTTTTCTCCTGAAGGAAACAGCAAGAGAGAGGTTAATGCTCCCATCCAGACACCCAGCAGCATGCTTTCTGTCAGTCCTAGTGGGAATTGCAGCCATCATTCACAGCAAGCTTCCCAAAAGCCAAGCACTGGTATGGCACGCATCCCAGCAGGATCCACTGAGGAAAGGGCTGGCAGAGCAATCAATTTACCATTTTCAAGATGATGAGAGCTTTTAGGAGAAATCAATTGGTGGTGTAATTAGGAATATTACCCATGTAGCTAATAATTATCGAAGATGGCTCTCTCCTTCACAGTTCATTTCCATCGAACCCTTCCACTAAATAAAGGTGTTACCTCTGGACATTATTTGCAGCTTCATAATCTACTATCATAGGCATTATTGCCATTTATTTGAGAGTGTGCCTGACTGTGACCTGAGGAAGATAAAATAGGACCCTGATCCAAAAATCCTGCTTGGAGCAGTTAAGCAGCTAGCAGTGAAGATTTTTCAGAGGCATTGATTTTTACATAAAAATTGTTCATAAACTTCTCCTCTCTGCATAGCACTGTCTCAAATTAGCAAGGTGACATTAATATGTTGGGGGTAGGTCTTGACAGGAGCTACAGAAAGCTGGACTCTCACTTTGCACCAGCAGCAAGGGTTACAAGTGGCACACTGGGGATGGAGAGGAAAGAAAGGAGTTTGAATTAGGATGATGGGATCCCCCCCCCACCTTCGCTTGCTTCCATGGGAAAGAGTCCTGCTAGGTGTAAAACGACTAAATACTACATGCCGGTAAGAAATAAAAAAATTCATTAAATCATAAATCTTTTTGAAAGGGGATCTACTGGGGAGATTGTATTTGCTCTTCATGGACATATTAATTCAACAGTGGCATATCATATTGTTCTCTGCAGGGGAAAAAAGACATATTGTTTTAAAGTATGATATTAGAGCAGTCCTTTAGGAAAGAAAGCAAATATAATCTTGGAAAGGAAAACTGACTGCATGAGCACTGACTGAGGGACATTAAAAGCAGGGCCCAAGTCTCAGCTGCCGAAAGTCAGCATAGCTTGACTGGAGTTGTTGGAGCTGAGCCCACGCATGGGAGCTGAGAATGAAGGTCACCTCCATTTAGCCTGCAACTCCTTGAAAATGTTAAGTAAATGATCACAAAAGGCAATTTTTTACTGGGCCTGTCGTGAACAGTCACTGTTTGCCTGCTAGCAAACACCAATAGCAAGTGAGAAGAGAAAGACATTACAGCTGCATGCAGTTTGATGTTCACTGGTTAGGAACCATCTGGTCATCTCCTCCTGGATTGCTTCTGGCTCAGCAGTGGAAATTGCCGGCTCTCAGTCCAGCCAAACACTCAGGATTTAGGTAGAACTGAATGGCTAGCTGCAAAAGCTGGGCTCACCAAAGCCCTCCTTCAGCTGCTGACTGATCTAGACTCCCTACACGCCTGGTCTCCATTCCCCAGGAGGCTCCAGTCCTCCTGTGGTACATGCCCAGAAGTGTCTGCAGCAGCCTGAAACCTATCTCCTGCCTAAATTGTAGTCAGATGAGGCCAATAAACACCTCCCTCCCCTGAGGGACTACATCTGACAGACACCCTGCATGCAGCCAGCCACAGCATATGGATAAGGTCTCCTCACAACAGGCCACTTCCACACAGTGCTGGGGTGGGGCTGGTCTCACTGGCCCCTTTCCCAGCTACAGTCACACTCCACCTTTAGCTTCCCACCTCTCCCTGACTACACAAATCTTGTATTCATTTGAAACGGGAGCATCCCTCCCCTCTTTTTCTATCTGTACCTTTAGCATGGTGGTCAGCACAGCCCTGTGGGTGATGTAGGTTTGAATCTTCTCCAGCTTGGCTCCAGGCATGAAGGGCACTGGGATAAGACTCCTGCCCACTGTGCACATTCTCTGGACACTTGTCCCACGCACAAATAACTGATAAGCTCTGCTGATTCCTGGAGTATATCTCCCCTCACAAGAAGGCTGTGGATCAAAGTCAAAAACACATGCAGGCCTAACCTCAGAACTGCACACAGCACCATAAACACAATCCCAATCATCCCAAGCAGTGTTGTTCTGCCTTATGGCTGCTCTCATAATAGCTATGGGAAGGTCTTCATCAAACATACAAGTTACTGTACAGTAACTGTTCATGACTATGTCCTTCCTCTGTGGTGACTCACCATCCAAATTACCTTATTCCAGAGGAATAAGGGGAGAAGACATCTTAAGTTTACCGCACAATATAACGGTGACTGCTGAGGAGCTCTTGCACCTTAATACAATTTATGCCAGTTTGACCATTTTACGCTCTTAACTAGCTCAGACACAGAGAATTCAGCTTGGCCTATCAGAAAAGATGGGATTTGCTTATCACCTGAATTGCATAGGACACTGCACAAGAGAGCACACACGTGCAAACTGCTGCTGCACTTCCCGCTTTTCTCCTTCCTTTTGCCAAGCCAGCTATCTTGATAAAAACTATCCCATCCATTCCAATGAGGTGTAAAATTTGAAGCATCATTGCTCCCACTGACAAAACTGCACACAAGACTGTTCCTAGGTAAATAAATAACTAGATAAAACAAAAAGGACTGATGGAACATTAACCATGAACAGTCAGAATGACAAAGTCAGCACACACAAACCACAAAGACTCTTACAACATTGTCAGTTGTACGCCATTTATGTATTTACCATAAGTGTATTCAACTGCCTGCTCAAGATGAAAAATACTAATAAGGTTGTATTTTTCTCTATAACTGGACCAGGTTCCAGCTGAATCAAGTGTTTACTAGCCAAACACTTACACAATTTTAATTTCTTATTCTGGGGTCCTTAATACTGTCTTTAGGTGCAAGGCACATTGGGAGCAGCTCACAACCCAATGTTGTTGGAAGCCAGAGAGGTCTTAAGACTATTCAAATTATCCAATGTGAGCACAAGAAGGAGGCAGCCTGTACTTTAGCTTCTGTCCAGGGCCCCTGGAAAGTTAATCCTATCCAATTACACTACTTTTTTTTTTTTTTTTCCATAGAAGAAATAAACAGTCTTTTGTACTAAACATAAGGCTGCCTTCTTTTGAAGGAAGATTTATCATCCAGGACAAATTCATGAGTTCATTCCATTTTTGTCCCAAGTCTTCAAAGCAGTGTTTTACTTCATGATGTAGTATCAGTTGATGCTGCCTCTGTCCCAGTCAGTCCCTCAAAGAGATCCCACTTTTCCTTAAAAAAAAAAAAAAAAAAAAAAAAAGAGAGAGAGAGAGAGCATGAATGCAGATTGTCTCATTAGTTACTTAAAGCCTGCACACCAAATTCCACACACGCATGTTAGAGCCATGCAAACACCTACGTAAGGAGCTAGGACTGGCTTCCCTTCAGACCACAAACACCAGGAACGCAATGGGGCTTTGAGCAACCTGGTCTAGTGGAAGGTGTCCCTGCCCATGGCAGGGGGGTTGGAACTAGATGGTCTTTAGGGTCCCTGCCAACCCCCAAACCATTCTGTGATTCTATGCTATGACATTGTTCAATGAAGAGAAGTGACTGGTGGATGACAAAATCTGCTGTGAGTTGCCCAAGGAGAGGACCAGCTCTGAAATAAGAAGGATGGCTCAGCTGCCTTCCCCACGTCAACAGGGACTCTGTTGTACTGAACTGAAACCTTGAACTCATTACAATGTCACTCTGTCTTTGGATCTGATATCCTGTGGGGGAATCTTCTGGGAATGTATTTTGGTTCAGACTTGGGTCAAGGAGAGTTGACTTGACCTGAAAATAAATCCAGGCAATCTCAAGCTGAAGAGCTATTGACTACTGTTTGCAATACAATAAAGTGAGGAGATCAAACTCGGCTGAAACCCAGGGTTAACATAAATCCAAGGAGAAAGGGGAACATTCATTCACCACCATGACAAAGGGGACATTTTTTGCATTGGCAGAATTCAGAGCAGGGACTGAAAGCACTTCCCAGGAAGCATTTTCAGTGTTACATATGGTCAGTGTGTGCTGTTTAGCTGTGCTGATATCTTCAACAGACTGGCAGTAAGATAAGTACACAACAGTACACGTGGGTGAAAAAGATTTTGGGAGGGGGGGTTGTTTTGTTTTTTAACGTCACTAGATGGAGTTCCTCTGCTCGCACACAGGGCAGCTTTTGTGAGACATATTTTATATGGATCCCCAAGGAGAGATCTCAGCAAACGGGCTCTGAGCTCTATTGTGTGCACGTGTGCGTAATAATTCTCAGCAACTTTTGGTTTATGGTCCAGGAGAAATGCTGGTTGTACTCACTGCAGCTCCAAGATGAAATTCTGCTCCTAGCTTATGCTAAGGGGAGTTGTACTATTAACTGCATTGAAGCTAGACTTTCTCCTCTTTCAGGAGCTTTGGTTTTTTCATGATTGTTGGACATAAGCAATTTTTCAACCAGCTGATACTTCCCAAGTCTGTCCTGCAGGGAGCCTGCAAGACACTCCCTACCCATGCTGCAATATAGCCACAGAATGAGTAGAAAATCCCCCCCTGCAACTCTCCTACTTCCCAGACCTCAGATCCAGAAGCAGCAGTTTGACTCACCAGCCCTTTGCCCAGACCCGTAACACAAATTCCACTCAATAAATTTTCCAGCTTCTCAATGTGGCTGGAGCTGCTGGTTGTCCAGCAAAGGTTCAGGAAGATCCTCTGTCCACCCAGCACTCAAACCACACTAATTTGCTAATTTTAACAAAGTTAACGCTTTAAGAATGCAAAGCTGTCCTACAAGGATCTAATGCATGCACCCCCAGAACAAGCTGTGGATAATAACAAGAACTAGTGATCCTTAGATATCACCTTTTAACATGCCTGGTTAGGGTCCTCAGAGCTACCCTCAGCTTGAGCTTGCATGTGTTTCCAACCTAGAATAGCTGGTTCATCTCAGGATAAATATTAAATATGGTTTAGTCCTGCTGCTGGCATCCATTAGCCACTCCATTTTGCAATAAAAATCTGGTCAAATCCCTCTAGTCTTTCCACACTATCCCCTTCTCCCAAGCATGCAAAGGGATAGACACCTTCTGTGCTTTTCCAGGAAGAAGCAGAGCAGCTCAGCTCACTGCAGTATAGATATGAGTGGTGCTGCACCCAGGAGCCCTGGCAACACAGACAGGGCAGGAGCTTCACTGAGGACACATCAACTCAGACAAGCCTGACCAGGGTAGCTGCTTTTGGGAGATGAAGGCAGTTTCTGTGGTAAGGCATGAGCACCACATTCCTCATTTGAGTGCAACTATTTCTAAACACAGCCCAGGGAAAACTGCATATTTATTTTTTTTATTTCGCTAAAACCCATTTTATTAACCAATTTGTGCTCTAATGTAGATGGTCCCTTTGTTTATGGAATAAATTATGCTGCTTATTCCCATCTCCCACTGTGATTGCATGATTTCTGTCAGATTGTATAATGTTTGATCTAAGAATGAATAAACTCCACTAAACAAAGCTGCAATAGAAAGTCGAATAATAAGTCAAGACTCCAACCTCTCTAGAGTAAAAAAAAGGTGAGTTTGACAAAGTAACTTGCTGAGAGAGCCTGGGAATCTTTCAGATGAAATAAAGTTAAGAGGGACTCAGTATTCAAGCTCAGCACTTTGCATCTGCACCCTTTAAAACTGTCAGGAACTTCACCCCTGACTCAAGTGAAATCTTTGCAAATTGGGATTTCTTTTACCATTGTGTGAAAATTAACACTTTCAATTGCAATTAGCAGTACCACAGCCCTGCTCACGTTCTGCTCCAAAAACAAGCTGCACATGAATATTCACAGCCTACCAATGCCATCGGAAAGGAACTTTCTAGTAAAGACCTTCCCAACACATGTGTCTCCTCCAAATCAGGAATGAGAGAAGAAAAGCACAGATCAGTCTCCGTGCAGTGGCTTTACAGGTAGGTGCCCAAACACTGGTCATCTCAGGGAGCTCTGAGACAATCACTTTTCATCTAACCTGTGGTGTAGTCAGGATTGCTCTGCTGAGGACTGGTCTAGGGGTTATCCACATGAAAGTGCAAGTATTTTTTAATGGACACATCTTTCCTTCACAAAAAAGATCCACCATCTCAGCAGCTCAACTTCTCAACCCCTGTCTTCCCTAAGACACACCTTTGCAGGACCAGCTTAACCACTCCTAGTTAGGGTTAAGTCAGTTCCACCTAGAACAGCAAAAACACGAGGAAAACCAATCCTGGAGACTTCCCACCCATCAGCAGAGGTTATGGTGAGGAGATTCACACAGTCTTATCCACTACCTGCCCCTTCTCTGCTAAGGTACCAAGTGCATTGGTCAAAGTATCTGAGCCCTTTCTGTACAACGTGGCAGCTAGCACCAATAAAACTAATTGGAAGATGGGGAGAATTATTGATTTTAATGGAGAGGAAATTAAGCAGCTCTTTTAATGCAGCAGTCTTCAACTTAAAGCTGTGGCCCTTTCAACTCCATCTCTCTCAAACTGGTGTAATTATGCTTGAAGCAGGACAAGAAATGCAAGGAAGAGAAGTCACTAAGGAGAACAGGTGAAAAAAAACCCCAACAGTATTACCTCACAGACAGTCACATTTCAAAGCACACAAAGAAACCCCTAGTGAAGCAGTGGAAGCCAAGCATTCCCTCTTAAATGCATAAAATGTTAGGAGCTCACTTACAAGCCTTCCCAGTGCACGCTGACGTGCTACCAATCAGACCTGGACCAGAGACTCTGCCTAGAACTTTAAAAAAATCCAAGTAAAATATCATCCCCTGGTGTTGTTCCATCCCCAAGCCAGTCGGAAGTCATCCACAGAATTCTGATGGGTAGTGTTACATATGATTTACCAGAGAGCTGAAGGGGCCACCCCACTCCACCCAGTGCAGGCAGGATGGCCAATTCTCTCCTCCTCTGCAGGATCTTTCATATCTAGGGTCTGCTCCATCACCTTTCAGCTGCACCGAGTTCACGAGGCAGAAAAGAAAAAAGAAAAGTAATTGTTTTTCAAGTGTGATATTACTGACACTTGACAAAGAGAAAAAGCAGATTCCCTGAGGGTCCTATCCACTCACTAAATAGCCAAAAAAAGTTGTCCTCCACCAAAGTATCTTTCAAATGAGAGGCGAGAAGGAAAACTGGAGCTGATCTCAAGTCTACCGGCGTAAATTGGCGGAGCCCTTGCTGTTCTCACGGAAGGCAGGAAAGCAGAAAGCAGGGAACCACGCCCCTCCGAGTTTAAAATATTTATTTAAAACTGGATGCCAGGAAGGTGAACAAAAAATAATGTTTGAAAGAAGAGAATGGCTATTTAAGAGACAAAAGAAAGATTGGATTTACAGGCTCATGGGATAAATTTAGCATGTCTCATCTGAAACAAATTGAGAACAGATTAAGAACCCAAAATGAAACAAACACCTAAGCTGTTTATTAACTCCTGCTTGTGGTATTAAAGGAAATTCAGTTTTAAAAGTTGCAGATAGCTCTGGAAAATGCCTTCTCCCTTTGTAGAGAATTTTGTAAGGACAAATCAGGTACTAAAGTTCTCACCAGCAGTCGTTTTGCTTGGCTGTCTTAAAAGCAAACAAATAAACAAACAAAAAACCCAACAATGCCTTGTGTTGGCCAATGGAAACTTCAGACTAGTCCTGTAAAATTCCCTGGCCCACCAATAGAGCTGGTGGGGAGCTTTCCAACAGGCAGGCTTTGGATAGAAAAAAATGTCTTCCGCAGAAGAAATGTCAGGTTTCACAGAAATATTTGAGTTTTCCTGAAGGACAAAAATTGAAGGAACGACATCTTAATTTACCAGCAAGGTTAAGTCATCATTTGGTCTAGATCAACTGCTACTCCCCACCCTTTGTGGGTGAAGCTTTCTGCTGGAGCTTTGTTAACATGATTCATCCAATTCTCTCCCAAGAGAAACATTGCTTCATTGGCATCCCTCCTGTATCTTGAGAAACACAGTCCAGCCAGAGAATGGAGGCAGCTGCTCCATGCAGATTACTTTTTTCTTGCGCAGGCCCATCATGTTTCTTACACAGAAACAGGAGGAGTTAATCATGTTCTTGACACAAAAAGGGAAAGATACATTTGGGTTTTAAGCCAGGCTGCAATGATGAGAGTTAAGATGCTGATGTCAACCACAGCAGTGTAATCAGCACACACCCACAACTGGCTCCAGAAGCAAGGGAGGGTTATTTATGAATTATTACATGAAGCCAGGA